ATTTCAGTTTCAAGGTCTCACTTCAAAATGTTTCACATTACAAGATTATCACACACAAAAAATTAGCGTGAGATATTTTTCTGCTGCTTCTGAAACAGGGTCACTTTTAACATCTGGCTTTAAAGAAAAAATAAAGTATATTTAAGCTCAAGCCAAATAATTTTTTTATTATCTATTTTTAGCGGAGGCCTGATATTTCACAGGTTAACTCCACTAAGATCCCAGTGAGGCTCAGGAACAAGTGATGAAAAATCCCATAAAGTAAGAATTCCAGCAAGCAAGGTAATCCAAGAATATCCCCATACAGATCCCAATGACTGGACGACACACAGCATCAGGAGCAGAACTAACTTTTATTCCACACAACCTCCTTTTAAAGCATTCTCCCATGCAAGGAAGGGATTCACATTCATTAGTACAGTATCCAATGGAGTAGCAGTTACCTCCCACACATCTCCTCCCCTCAGTATGACACTTAATCCTATTACACAGGCTATAGTTTTCCCCAAGTTCTGGATGTGCCCTAAGATCAGCAGCTACACCAATACTTTAGGTACCCCCTGGTAGCCCAGATCTGGGTGGCTAACATATCCAAAATTCACCCAGATCTGACCAGGGGTTCGGGAGTTAGGTGGAGGGTGTAATTTGACCGACCGCACACGAGGTGGTATCCGAAAAGGGTTCCATGTATTTTGGCCCTGCGGTCGGTCTCCATTCGGGAGTTGAAATACACACAAAAAGCTTCCATCCACGAATACTATTACATTCGCATGACCCCCCTCATTCGGTACTTTAAACTTACCGAACGGGGGGCTGATTCGCCTTCCCGTTCAGGAGTTACGGAGCTCTGGATGTGTCAGCGGTGTTCGAGTAATTGAGTGTACGATTTGAGTTCCAGACACTCGACGACCAAACACAGCTGAGCCTTTCGTGCGTAAGATGGCCGCCGCCACGTGTTCGTATGCCGAATGGCGGCCACCCAGATACCTACATAAAACACCTATTAGTCTGCGGTTAGAGAGAAGTGTGCAGCTTAATGAGGGACACACTTCACTCTGGGGTGGTCTATTGGTTCGGTAGTTTCCATTCGTATGGAATACGGATGGCAACTACCGAACAATCACACGAATCCTACTTACAATTAACTATACAGAAGAAATAACACACGAATTGCAGTATTCTCATAGTCTCTAAGGACAGCCATAGTACCATCCGCTACACTATTAAACTAAGAATATTATCATTTTGTAATAGAAAAATTATTATTTTGTTTATTTTGTAGTGTGCAACACATCCTGCAAATCTTTAGCACAAGTAATAAAGCAAATATATTAATAAGGGATAGAAACTACAAATGGAATTAAAACAAAACGTGTGCACACGAGATTAAAATCATTCTTAAAAACAAACAAACAAACAGGTAAAAGTGCAATATAGGAAAACTTTAAAATCCCAATTTCTACTTCGAATTATATTTTGCCATGAATATAACAGAAAATAATATAACAGTGTTTCTCTCTGCAAATATATTAAAGTGTCTTCTGTACATGAAGCAAACAATTAGTTCTGTATTTTCGGGTGCACTGGATAAGGAGCACATCTGAATCTACATGGGATGAGCCGTTAAATTAAATTGGGGAACTTTCAATTTTTAAAGATTTTAAATATTATGTTTATATTGAACAAATGAGAGAGTGTTATGTATGAAAAAAACTTTTAATGTAGAAATCCAAATCACTGTATTTATTTATTGCACTAAATAAATCATTGTTATAAACTCATGCGATGACAATTGCCATATCCTATAATAGAAACAGTAGTAAAGGGTCAGCGCTGATAGAACAAACTAGGAAAAGTGAAATTAAGGCAGCTTTCCTCCAAAAGGAAGGGAATCCCTCTATCCCTATTGTAGTAAGGCAAGTACAAAATATTAAAAAGTGTAGAGGATTAGCGCCACTCTAAAAAGACACTGGTGAGAATTGTATAACCAGCATAAGATGCCTTAAATAGGTCTACAATAGATAGATACACTTAATAAATGGGATAGAATAAGAGACCTAAAATACAAATAAATATAAAATAAGATAAATAGAATAATAAAATATAAATTATTGAATATATGTCCAAGATAGAGAGTCCAATAAAAGATAGATGGTATATACTTTCCAGAGGAGCAATCACAAACTCGTTCAAAGAAAATGTTCTTGTTGGGATATCAGATGCGGTCCGTATGTGGAAAGAAGGAGAGGATAATGGTGTAGTATGTCCAGAAAATATAAAAATAAGAATAAAAGTATATATGGTCCTACTTATGTTTTTAGAGCTTTAAACCAGCTCTAGTATGAAAGACATACAGTGGTACAATCCCCACTTGCAGGATATGTGAAGAATAGTGATGTCCCGAACGGTTCGCCGAACGGTTCGCCGAATGGTTCGCTACGGATGGCGAACATAAACATAAACTTTGACCCTGTACCTCACAGTCAGCAGACACATTCCAGCCAACCAGCAGCAGACCCTCCCTCCCAGACCCTCCCACCTCCTGGTCAGCATCCATTTTACATTCATTGTGAAGCTGCATTCTTAGTGAGCTGTCCAGAAGGTGGGAGGGTCTGGGAGGGAGGGTCTGCTGCTGATTGGCTGGAATGTGTCTGCTGACTGTGAGGTACAGGGTCAAAGTTTATGTTTATGTTCGCCGTCCGTGGCGAACCGTTCGGCAAACCGTTCGGAACATCACTAGTGAAGAATGGATACGTGAAGTGGCACTAATCCTCTACACTCTTTTATATTTTATATTATATAATAGTGTATATTAAAAAAAAAAATCACATGAAAAAAGCTAAACGCAAGTTGTATGTGATTTTCGATTGTTTATTCAATGGTGCAAATCTACAGAATAGGTGTTTCCCTTTGCACATTGTTAAAAACCTGCAAAATAAAATGTTGCACACGACCCGTAATATCACTAACATAGAGTGGAGTTCTAATTTCATTTAGTTTGTTCTTCCTTCTTTTTTTGTGTGTTTTTTTAATTAATTTGTGTTTGTAGTGGGTTTTTTTTAAACTTTTCTATGTTATTGAAAATCTTTTAATGTAGTTGTTATTAGATATACATTGCATTAAACTGTGTAACTGAAATGGCAAAGTCTTAATTACTGGCAGATAAAATTAAACTGTATTTTATTAGCACTATACTTGATATTTTGCACTCCAAGCACTTTGTATTATTTTCTGTTAACGCTGTACTTCCTGATAGTTGCATGCTGATTACATACGATCTCTACTGGACAACACTTCAATTACTGAAATATATTAACATACCTGTGCTAAATTTTATTGCTTAGACATTTTCTATTTAACTTGTAAAACAAAATCAACTTATTATTCTGATATATGTGCTGAAAACAAATTTTGGAGGTTTAACCTATATTCATGATTAAATAGAGATAAAAAGAAAGAAGGCCTTATGAATATAAATAGGAAGTTGTGTTGCTCTAGATTAGTGGTTCTCAACCCAATCCTGAAGTACCCCCTAAAAGTGCAGGATTTAGGGATTACACAGCAGTGTATGTGGTGTTTTAAAAAAATAAAATAAAAACATTTAGACACAACAGGGTAATCCCTTAAACCAAAAATGGTAGAGGATACTTGAGCACTGGGTTGGGAACCCGTGCTCTAGATAACAGAAGACTGCATATAATTAACTGAATGTAATAAACTACTCAGTATGACTGAATAATAAAATATTGCAACTATTAGATACCTGGAACATATAATTCATCACTTTAAATATAGGAGTACTGAGAACTACAGGGAGGAAATCAAACGCCCAACAAGCACTATGCAATTGTTGACAATATACACAAAAAAGGTATATTTCAGTTTATTTCATGCTCACAAAGCAGGCATACTTGAAACCTTGGGACTGATACACATTTTAAAACCTTAAAAATAAACTTTGTTAAAAATATCGGATACTAGATTCTATTATATATCCAAATACAAAGAAACTAGTCCTGCGCTCAAACTCCCATTACTCCTGGGCGGCAGCAATGACTATAGTACACATCAGCCAAAATACATATAGTAAAAACCAACTATTATATATCCACCTGGTTAGTCAATGCCAGCAGGGCCAGATTAAGAGCCCAGTGGGCCTGTTGCTGACAATTATGAGGGGCCTAAGTACAGAATCTTATCGACCAAAAACACTAAAACAGTCATAGCGCTTAAGCGTTATGTATCTGGTGGAGATGTTGCCGGAGGGAAACTCATCTCTCTCTAATTCATGTTTTTTTATCTTTTAAGTAAATCCATACCCCCTAACAGCAGTGTCCAGTGAAGCAGGAAGTCAATGGGTGGTGTAAAAGGGTAGGCCACTGACGCGGATCATGTAACCAGAACTCCCGAACATGCCCAAAAAAGAGGTGTATCTGCCCAAAGAATTGGAAGGCTAGCCTGGCATGAATGCATGTCAGGCTGCCTGCTAATCATGCATGCTGGCCAACAGCATCCTGAGCTTTGCATAAATGCATCTAATGATGTGCTCGCTCCATGCTTTGTAAGGACTGTCCCCTAGCACTCACATGTCCACTTGTCTCCTTACCATCTTACTAGCAGGTAGAAGCTCTGAGACAGATAAAATGTGGATGTAGTGAGTGTAGAAGAAAGGGAACATGCCAGAGCATTAGAGACACCAAAGTCAGCATTACCTTAATTAATTTTATTTCAGCTAGTCCACACAAGTTTTGTTTACATATATCCCTCTTCATTTTCCATACTTAAGCAAGAGTATGTGAAGAGTAGTTAGGGTTGCCACTTTTCTTCGGAAAAAAATACAGGCCTTATTAATTTGCATGATTAATTATGTATGCGTGACATCACATGATGTAAATCAGAAGGAGTGACATAAGAGAAAATTCTGTAAAATCACCAAAAAACTACTTACAGTTTAATTCTGCTGTATAGATGGATTGCTTCCAGTGTCTCCCAGTGTCCCAATGTGTCCCCATGTCGCCCAGTGTCCCCTAGTGTCTGTGTCCCCATGTATTCCAGTGTCATCACTAGGGGTCACTGTGAGACATGGGGACACTGGGGGACACTGAGAGTGTATGTCTCCCAGCATCCCCCAGTGTCTCAGTGTCTCCATGTCTTAGAGTCCCCAAGTGTTCCCATGTGTGTCTGTGTTCTCATGTCTCAATGTCCCCATGTGTGTCTGTGTCCCCGTATCTCCAAATGTCCCCAAGAGTCTCAGCATCCCCAGAGGTCTCCCTGTGTCCCCATGTCTCACAGTGTCCCCTATGTCTCAGTGTTTCCATGTTTCCCTGCAGCCTTTACCCCATCCCTCACTTCCCTGAGCTGCAGGCTGTCTCTGCAGGCTGGGAGCTGCTGTGTGGACTCTCTGTGCTGTGTAGCTGCTCCCCCGCGGATCAGTGGGTGGGGAGATGCAGGTATATGCTTTAACTTCCTATCCCTGCCTATCTCCACACACACAGAGACCCCTACTGGCCAATGCTGGTATTGCCAAGTAATCTCTGTTTACACCGAGAAAAATGCCGGGATTTGTATTGCCGGTATTACAGCAATATCGGCACCGACCAGGCAGCCTCAAATAAATACCGGCCAGGTGGCAACCGTAAGAGTAGCGTGTATTTAAATCAATGGGCCTATTTCATGTGCATGGGCCTGGAGCTGCAGCTCTATCAGACCCTATGTTAATCCGGCCCCGAATGCCAGGGTAGATTGTTATAATTTTCTATACATTACAATATACACATACACAGTAACATATGTTATGCTGAAATTTCTGCCATTTTTACTACTGGATTTTCATCTCTTTTATTGCTATATAACAATGGATGTAAACAAAACCCAACTACTGATATTCCAATGGATTGCTGTGATTAATCCATCTAAATATACCTTGGAATGAACGTGGCAGCACTTTTGCTTCACCTCTAACCAGAGGCATTGAACCAAGGACGTCCAAGAATGACCCCATACACATGTAAAACTACACATCCCATGATGCTTTACCAGAATATCTTTTTAGCTGTGTTTAGAAACTAGCTGGAGATCTACTTTTTGGTCATCCCTGCTCCGAATGGTGAGTTAAGAGACTTACAATGTTCTGGATAAGAATTGTACTTTGCACTTCCTCCAGATACAAGAGATCAAGAGAGGTTTTCTTCTGATTGTGCTTTTAGTTTGTCAATGTTTTGTGCAGGGGCTTGAACCTTTTACTTCAATAAAGTCCTAATCAAATAGCTATGAAATCTACTTACACAACAACAAAAAAAACCTATTTATCTCAGCTTTTAAGGAATAATAAAGTCTGTATTGTTTCTCTGACAATTATGTGTAAGTCTATCAAAGTTTGAGGCTGCCATTGTCTAATCAACTGGTGGAAAGACATGAGCTGCATTATGATTACATGGGGTTAGACTTATTTTTACAAAAGATGCACACATGCTGATACATGTCAAACTGATAAAGTAGTGACCACACTGAGTTTGTTTGAGTGCAATTTATACAATTTTATGCAAACCTATGGGTCATAGAGAATTGTGGGATTTGTAGTTCAATAATTAATGGAAAACTCCAGTTCATAAATCATGGATGCACTTATATGCTGGTTTAATGTTCCTCTACAGATAATATAGTGTTCTACTTTTGCTAGTAATCTTTGCATTGCTGTAAAAACTTTTTATATTTGTATAATATGGCTAAATTGTACATTTTTACTTTCATCTTTGTTCCTTTCATCTTAGAATTATTTTATTAAACTCTTGTTACATTTTTTTTTTTTTTTTATGTGGTCCCACGGTGATATCACTAGGTCAAATAGATTTTAGTTTCCTCCTTGTTATATCTGTTTCTTTATCACCAGTCAGAATGTTTGGACCATCGCCAAGTAACAAAGTTCATCCATTTCATCATCACCACCTCAAGAATAATGTGCCATGCTGCTAATAGCCAATGACATTTCTATGACATTTCCAATGCTGATTTCCTGGTGGCACATTTCTCGGCAATAGTCTGTGAATTCTTGACGCATGAACTGAAACTATACAATGTTCATAACCAGAAAGGCTTTAAACTGTTGACTAAACAGGCTGCACAGATTGACTTCAAAATGATCATCATTTTGCTCTTTATGTTCCATCGAACTTGTTTTTCGCATCGCTTTTCAATAATCTGTTTGAAAAAAAAAGGATAAATGTTTCAAGGTACATTGTTAAGACATTAACTTAGCGGAAGTGGCAACAGGTGTCCCACCAGTAACAAGGTTGCCATCATGACACCAATACTTGGCAAACGTGCCCACTGAATATATTGCCAATTACGGTCCTGTTTCACAACATCATTTATATGAATAATTTAAAGGAAAGGTTAAATGGTTTGCAAATGACAATGTGCTTATGTGCTGGAGAAAATATGCTAGCATCATAAGATGAAAAACGCCATGGTTCAACCTTTTCCCAATCATTTAAATGTCATGTTCTTATTTTAGACCACATGTATATCCATAAGGAAATTAAATTACATACATTAGTATTTTTTAATAAGTGAACCTAAGGATTATTGCACAATATCTTCATATGTGCTTAACAATTCATAAAACTGTTATCAGTTAAATTAAAAGAGGGGGAAAAAGTGTAAAAATACACTCAGAATAAGAATTAAGTAATAACATTATTTAAAAGGTTTTCTTTGCAAAGGAAGCAAGATTATTTTCTTAAGAAATGAAATGTAAGTAAACGTAACAATTTGCAAAAATGTAAGCAGTTTATAAACAAATCTAGCTATTTTACTAACAATCAAAATTAGTAGTTATTTTAAAAAGAATTTGTAGATAATCATGAACGTTTGAAGCAAATATTATCGTATTGAAATGTAGATCTTTGAAAAATGATCAAATAAAATGTCTTAACCCCAATCTGACTAACTGTACACTTGCTTCTGAGTTTATTTACTGAAATATATTTTTGAAACATAGTAACGGGTTCTTTTTTTTTATTTTTTTTTTTTAAAAGGAAAGATTTCAAAATGCTACATTATGTGTGGTGAATAATAGCAGTCTGTGATCTCTTAATGCCTTCCCAAATACCAGTAAAACATTTGTAGACATATTACACTTAATGTGTTCTAAAAAGAATGTATTACAACAAGAAAAAAAAACATCTAGTGTAATATGAATTATTCATTGATAATATTAATATAATTAGGGTTAGGGGATTTTGGAGTAGGATAAATATGTTGCGGTCATTAGGTTTGTGGTTGGGACATTTATGGTTAGAGGGTTCATGATAAAAGAGTTGGGGTTATGTAAGTTAAACCTTCATGATAATATTGTAAAGTCCTACGGAATCTGTTGGCGCTAAGTAAATGGTGATTATAATAATAATAATAATAATGATGCATTACATTTGCTACTTATGTGCAGGCAGTGTGTAAGATGTTTGTTAGACACAATGTACATTAGAAGAGTAGTCATTCAACCATGGGCAACAAAGACAATTGTGTCCCCCTGGCCACCCTTAGCAACAACAGAAACAAAAATGTAGTGTGGCCATTCTACATCACCTTCTTGGGTGTCAGCTACTTGGATAGAACCAGGTCAATGATAAATGGGCCAATTAAAGAGATCCTCTCCTCAACCTTGAACCGAGATCATCACGGTATATCATATTGGCTTGTTGATCAACAGGTGGTGGACTGCAATTCGATTTCTTAACATGCCTGATGCAATTCAACAACTTGAGAGTTATTCTATGGTTTCATAAGCAATGGAACCTATCTCCTTAACCCCCATGCAGGCAAATGTCACATAACTTTAGACACTATTTCCTTTATGCACAACATTTATGTGGCTAGTTGTCTACACAAAATAGCAGTTTTGTGCCATGTTTGTGTTCTAGCTGTTCACCCTATCTTTCAAATAAATGTTACATTTATTTTATTGCACAACAAAGAACTTGGTATTAAAAAGGTAAAACCTTTCATTGCTTCTGACATAACCAAAGAATTACACCGGCACTGCAGTATTCCTTAGAATTGTGAATATTTCTAGAACATTAATTAGAATAGAAATAAAATGTGAAAAATGGCAAATTATACAAGTCATACAAGTCATACAAGTGTTGACCTCATATAATCCCTTCTCCTTAAGCTAAGTCAAAAATAATAACAAATGTCATTATATACCATGATATGAACACATAAATATTTTCTGACCCTATGAAACCTCAACTAAGATTTATTATCCATTTTTGCTGACTGCCTTAGACTTTGTCTGCCTACATTTGGGCTTGATATTAAACTGATATGTGCACAAATCCTTTTCGCTTGCGACAAACAAATCAAATCCTGTTTATCTATGCCCGGACAAATCTATCCGTCTGGAATTTTCATGACAGATAGAATCGTTTGGACATAGTTTAACAGGAATTTGATTAATTCAGTCTACTTGAAATATATCTTATATTGGCACCATAAAGTTGTTTTATTCTTTTATTTTTCATTGTATAGTTATTCATACAATGAATAAGTAGCTGATAATAGCTAACCTCATTACCCTAACATAATAAATAGATGGGGGAGGCGTTTGAACCAGAAAGAGAAGCAGAAATTTTTACTCAATGGATTTTCACCATCCTAAACTTTTAATTATGGGGTCTCCAACTGAACAATTACTCGATCAACTGCATTTTGAGTACAAAGTCAATGCCGAAAATATATAATATACCATGATATATACAGTAAAACATGCCTAAATAGTGAGAACTACAGTAAACATTGATCCATCATACACTTACTGTGATACTTTTATACATTTACTTTGCAGTCTATTACAAAAGTTAGATGAAAGGTTAATAGAGTAGACTTGTGCGTTTGGTTCCAAATGAAATCTCAAACTTCAATGTCACTATATGGACTAATCACAAAACAAATTAAATGAGGAATGAACGAGCCATTACATTAGTTTCGTGATTTGGAGTTGTATCTGTAGTAAAAACCAAATGGTTGATGGAAAAAACATGATTAATAAAATCTATATTAATATATTTATACATGGTATATTGAATAAATA